TGTGTGTGTGTGTGTGTGTGTGTGTGTGTGTGTGTGTGTGCGGTTAAAGGCACTCATTGAAGATTCATGTAGACTGGTCCATGTGTACATATGTGTTATGTATTTGAGCTCAGAATTGTTGAGTAAAGTATGTAGATGTAAGTGCTTTTGCACAGGGTGCAAACCTGTATTTCAGAGTTGTATATTAATATTTCTGGAAAACTAGTGGAGGAAATTGTTTCAAAATGCACCATTAATATAGTTCAGGTTAACTTTTCTATCGTTGATTTCATATTTTTCAATTAAAACCTTTGAATGTAGTGTTACAAAATACAAGTGAGGTGTTTATCAAGGGTAATTACAAAAACCCCTCATCCGTTTTTGATCAACTGTCCAACACTTGATCCGATGCTGTGGGTCAACTCAATAACATTAAATAGTATTTTGTAGATTTCTACTTTTCAGTGCATTAATCAATTCATTTTGTCTTGTGTTATGATTTAGACAAGGTTTCTATGGATAGAACTAACACGATTCGATCTGGCATACTAAACCAGTATGTTTTTTTTTTTCCCCTGGGTTTATAACAACAGCATTAAAAGAAACAACAGCCATTTGTGACTAAAATTAAATCCAGTTGTTTTCTTGTTCAGATGATGCAGTTCTTCAGAACTGTTGATGGCAGAGCAGCAGCTATGCTCACTTTGGAAATAACTGCAAATTCCAGCTGGCCTAATCTCTTAAAATTGCATTGGATTTGCTGTACATGCACAATTTATGTTTACAAGTAGACTTTGCATGGCTTAAGGCCGTACCTTTATCTCATATCCAAGTCCGGGTGTCCTCATTTCCAGCTGTTTTCCATTTTAGCTCAGATCATCAGAGAATTTTTTTTTTTTTCCATGCAGATCCCTCCAGTTAAAGGAGAGCTGTGGCTCCCCGCGTGGTATCCAGATGTTAGGCTCTTTCCACATCCAGTATAAACATGAAGCATGGCAGAAAACCAAAGAGAATAACCGAGGGGGGGGGGGGGGGCTTCTGTTTCACAAAGTAAATTAAACTCTGCTGGAATTGGCACTTGGAAACATTCTTAAAATAACCTACGCATGAGTGATTCTTTACAGTAGTTTATTTAAAGTAATTTTACTGCTTAGAGAAGTTTTGGTATTTTAGTTTTATGCTAATTAGAGGACGTAGATAAGAGCTTACTTGATGAAACTGCGTGCAGAAGACAAATGGGGAAGTTGCAGCATGTCTTGCGTTGTAGGTTGTAATATGAGCTTTAACAATAATGTTTGAGTGTGACAGAAACTGTCAAGGAGAATAAAAACATGAGGAAGCCGTAATTAGTGGCATCAGATATGCTGTCTGTCTGTGTGCGGTTCTGCAGTGAACTTTGATTTGGCTTCAGTGGCTCCTCAGAGGAAAAATGAAGCATAACTGCTTCAAGGCGAAAAATTGGATGCATTTCCTACCCTCGGAAAATACGTGCAAGTCTTCTAAAAAATGTCTGTACCATCATTCCATGGATAATGGTTTACACATGCAGAGCAGTGGCTAAGATTTGGAGTTCCTAAAGAAAACTACAGCATCAGCTCTTTAGGAAATAGAAACCGTTTCAATATGCAAGTAATAAAAATTGATTTGTGAATAGCTCGTGCTGAAGTGTTTTGATGTTTTTAGGTGGGAATCATGGTGAAGAGACGTGGCTGGCCGTGGAGCGCAGTAGGTTTAGACCCGGCAGTCTGACAGCAGGGCTGCAGAGGAGTGAGCAGGCATCTCAGCCTGCACCGTCTTCAGCATCTCGCCCAGCTCTCTCCCATGGACCCATCCTTGTTACCTTGACTGTTGGATTCTTATCTGACAGACTGAATTTTAAGACATTCCTGAATCCATTTATCTGCCCCAGCGTGCTCCCGACTACCCAGCAGCCATGAGAAGCACCAGAATGAATCTGCTGGTGGGCTGCGTGCTCCTTTGTTCCGCCTCCTTGCTCTACTTGGGCATGAGTGGAATAGACTGCCCTAGAAAAAGTCACCGCCATCGTTGGATGGAGCTTAATCTGGGCTCTGGCAATCAGAGCTTGCCCCTAACTGAACACCTCCCTGAAGACACGCCCATCATCTTCATCGGGGGCTTCCCCAGAAGCGGCACTACGCTGATGCGCGTCATGCTGGACGCCCACAACGCTGTGAGGTGTGGAGAGGAGACCCGGGTGATTCCTCGGCTCTTGGCCATGAAGGCTACTTGGAGTCGTTCGGTTAAGGAGAAGATTCGACTGGATGAAGCCGGCGTCACTGACCAGGTGTTGGACTCGGCTGTGCGAGCCTTTCTGCTAGAGGTGGGTTGGTTGATGCAGATTGGTATGAACAGTTAGTCTAACAGTCTGAAATATAATTAAAATCAAATAACCGTTTTTGTTTCTTCACTCCAGATCATAGTTGGCCACGGGGAGCCTGCACCGCGCCTTTGCAACAAGGACCCATTCACATTGAAGTCTCTGTCTTATTTGGCTCGCATCTTTCCCAAGGCAAAATTTATTCTTATGCTTCGAGATGGACGGGCAACGGTTCATTCCATGATATCACGCAAGGCAAGTTTTCTTTCTTTCTTTTCTGTTGGGGCAGACATCCTCACAGGCTTATATTTCCAAGCTATTCTGTGACAAATTTGTGCTGATGCTGCAGTGTCTGTGAGGAATTCATGGCACAAGGTTGAAACAATGTTATAGTGGGTAGCACTGTTGCCTTAAAGCTAATAAACTAACAAGTTTTTGTTTTGGCCTTTTAAAAGATTCTGTGAGATATGTTACTTCAAAAAACATCCAACATCTTTTCTACGTATGTGATACTTTAGCATATGTTGCGTGATTTTGCTTGGTTGTAACATTCTTACAGCCACGTATCAATATAAAATGGCAAATAAGTGTAAGGATACGAGATCTTTCCATGAGGATTTTGTGCGTCTGCGCTTCTAAACAAGCTGTAGCTTTAAGTGTAAATGGTTAAATGTGTTGACCTTCTCAATGTGTCTCATGTCACAGGTGACCATCTCGGGGTTTGACCTGACGAGCTACAGAGACTGTCTGACTAAGTGGAGCAGCGCTGTAGAGACCATGTTCACCCAGTGCCAGGCAGCTGGAGTCTCCAAATGCCTCCCTGTCCAATACGAGCAGCTCGTTCTTCACCCCGAGCAGGAAATGAAAAAGTTGCTGAATTTCCTGGAGCTGCAGTGGGACCAGTCAGTGTTGCACCACGAAGAGCTGATTGGAAAGGCTGGTGGCGTGTCTCTGTCCAAGTGAGTGTTTAAAATGTTGACTTCGAAGCTTCACAACATTCTTCCGCTCATGCCTCGACATTCATATAGTTTCAATTTTATGTGATGAGATTTTAAAATTAATTTGTAATTTAGAGACCTTGTTTTCTAGTAACTGAAGTTTTGCTTCCTGTCTATACCATCTTGCTTCTATTGTGGTAATGGTGGCTAAAGTTTCAGAGGCACATATCTCCAAACCTCAGAGCGCTCAGCTGAAATTATCTGCATAGCAAGATGCCTTCAAAGACTCGGGATGAGTCCTTAAAACTGAAATAAGCTCAAGGCTGTCTGAACATCAGTGGAACGTCTTAGCTTTTTAATATACTGTATACTTCACCAAAACTTTCAAAATGATCTTCAATATTAAGCAGACAATTGATTTTAAATAGTTACAGCTGCTCAGTTTAAGGTGTGTTTTAAACATTACATTTTAATCAGTTATAAAAAGAAATATTTAAAGTTTAACTGCAACCAATGAAAAATTAACTAACAAGAAGTACCTAACTGGTAAATCTTTAATTTACTTCCTGGAAGAAAGAAAAAAGATTAATAAAATACAAATGCTAAGTATTTATCAGAACTTGTTCTAAAGAGTTGAGGAAGTGTTGTCTAGCCGCATAAACCAAAAACAAAACTTTTTCAAGGAACCACTGCACAAAGAGATGCAAAACATTGTCTGTTGTGACATGAACAGGGTGGAGACACAACATGGTTTGTTAACACAGACAGTGATTGACATTCAGTCTTTTCCCCCCAACACAAGCAAGTTGATAGTTTCCACACATTAGAAAAGATAAGGCGCTAAATAGAAGCATTGCACTTTGTTTGACTCCTGTCTGCTGTATTTCAGAATAGAATTGGACATTTATTTGTTGTGCAAACGCCTTTGAGGGGACATTTTATGCACCATCAGTTTGACAGCAAGAAAGTCTGAATGACAATGGAGGGAGTAACTTTAATCTGTTTAAGAACACTGTGCCAGTGGTTATCAGTACAGTAGTCGAAACAAAGGCAGAGGCCAGAACTGTCTCTAAAACCAAAAATATGCAGATTGTTCTATCTGAGGTCTGAAACGACTTGAACTCACAGCTTCATGTGCTCAGGACACATAATCAGGTTTGCTGGTGAAGATTCTCAGTCATCCAGGACATGATGAATTCAAAAAACGTTCAATACAAAAACAACTGGACTTTATTTGTAACAGAAGACGTTTCGCTCCTCATCCGAGGAGCTTTCTCAATTCAAAGAGCAGAGAGTGAGAGATACAGGTTATAAGGCTGAGTGAGATAAGACACACACACACATAAGACACACACACATACTGTATGTAGATTGGCAGTTCACACCTAAAAAAAAACCTAAACAGTAGGTCTTTGTTCCTCTAATTCACAGTCGAGGCCCCTCTGTTCCCATCAGGTGTGAAAACCGGCTGGGGATCTGTTTTAAAGTTGCATTATATGTTTTTGAAAGTGGGAATCTGAGGCCTCCTCCTCTGTTAAGAGACGGCTTTTCTCTTTTTACATAAATTGCTTCCTTCACCCCCCTCTCAAACCATCTGTGTTCTTGGGTAATAATCAGGTTTATTTTCAACAACAAAGAGCAGCTTTCATTCTCAGAGCTCACATTCGTTTCTCAGTAAAATGGCTTCATTAGTGTTAAGAGGAAAACACTCTAAATGATGTTTACTCAAATGAACCACACTCACACGGCAGGTGAAGATTTATCTCCGGCACAGTTTTACTTGCAAGGGCAGATGTCAGAACAGTTCACATCAATATGCATTAATTGTATACACCTGTAGCCCGGTCACAATAATCTGCACATGCTGTATTTTATATCCTTATCAGCTTGACATGGTTTTAGTGGGTGTCCTCGAAGCCAGCTGTAGTCTAACATGACACTCCTGGCCTTCACAGATACAGTCAGAGACAAGAACACTAGTAATAATATATCCATAACTCTGACCAAAATCCTCTGACAATTAGTTGTTTTTTCTCAGAACAAGGCTTCACAATTAAGTACAGTAAGAGATTTAAAAGTACAGTTTCAACACTCAGTCAGGTTACACTTCTGTTCTCAGTGTTTTCATAATGCTTTGATTATCTTGTAATCTGCCTTCGGTCATGCAACTGTGCTGTGGGTGAAAGAAAAGTGACACCGGTAACTTGACACCGTATTGATTCAACAAAAAAATGTTAGCTCGGGTTTATAGGATGGAGTGACCCATACAGCTCTTCAAACGACCAACATACTATAGCAGACTTTATAGTCCAGTCCAAGTAAGAGTTTACAGCTAGTGTCCTCAAGAACATATTGTATTCACTTCAAACTGTGGAACGTAGAGAAGAGTGATGCTAGGTATTTGGAATAACATTTACAGCCCTGGTGACACACCAGTACACTAAGGGTTTAAGTAACAGAACATAAAACGTCTCTCACGTCATTTTGGAGAGCTCTGACCCACTCCTCTTTATAATGTTCTTGAGGTTCTTATAAATATTTTATGCACAACCTTCTTAGGATATAACCGCATGTTTCAGTCAGGTTGACATCTGGACTTTGAGTGTGTTATTGCAATGCCTTGTTTCTTATTCAGTCTATTGTAAATCAATCAATCAATTCAACTTTATTGTCCATAACATTCAATGAAATGAAGATTTGTCTTTGACATCTGGCTTATAAAAACAAAATAAAAATGTGATTAAAAAAAACTCTAAAAAATTTAAAACCAAACTTTGCTAAATCAATTAAAAACATTCAGTTAAAAACATTCTAAAATACACGATACATTGAAATATGGAAACATCCCAGCATCGTTTATGTGAGGCTGCGTTTAAATAGGACCTTGTTAAGTACATTCACCGCAGAGGGAACAAATGACTTTTTGTACCCATTTTTCTTTGCTAAAGCAACCAGGAGTCTTCTGGCAGATGGTACCAACCTGAATAATGGTTGCAGTGGATGAGTTGGGTCAATGTAAACCTGTATTGCTTTTTTCCCCAGAACCTGACTGTACATGTCTGTAAGTGTCATTTGTTGATGACCAATGACTTTACTACCTTGTTTGACCACCCGGGACAACTTGTCCCTGCCTCTGACTAGGAGGTTCCCATACCATCCATCCATCCATTATCTTTACTCGTTTATTCCATTTTGGGTCACGGGGGTCGCTGGTGCCCATGTCCAGCAATCACTGTGCGAGGGGCGGGGTACACCCTGGACGGGTCGCAAGTCCATCACAGGGCCACATAGAGACAAACGAGACAAACAACCATTCACTCTCTCACTCACACCTAGGGACAATTTAGAGTTACCAATCAGCCTAACATGCAAGTTTTTGGTCTGTGGGAAGAAACCGGAGCACCCGGAGAAAACCTACGCATGCACGGAGAGAACATGCAAACTCCACCCAGAAATGCCCCTGGACCGGGGTTTGAACCAGGGACCTGCTCGCTGAGAGGCAGCAGCTCTACCAGTTGCGCCACCGTGCTGCCCGGTTCCCATACCATGAAACAATATTAAATGAAACAACACTTTCAACCAGTAACCTGTACACCAACTGCAAAGTAATTTTGCTTGCATTAAAGCTCCTCAGCTTATACAGAAGGTGGAGACGCTGTCTGGATGTTTTCTAAATATAGTCAGTGTTGGGCTCAAAGGTCAACTTGTTGTCAATTATTGTTCCAAGGTATTTAAAATCAGTCACCTGCTCTACTTCCTGCCCTTTTATAATAGAAGGCCTAAAAGTAGGTCTGGTGCTGGCTGCTCCCCATCTACCTCCCAAACAAAGTTCCTTGGTTTTACTGACATTAAGGGCCAGAAAACTGTCTTCAAACCTGGCAAAGAGCTGATCTCTGAGCTGGGAGTACGAGGGACTACTGGTGTCTTTCAGACCAGCAACTAGGGCGATGTCATCAGCATACTTAATTAATGTGAAATCTTTACTGTTGTGTTGCAACTCATTTGTGTATATAGACAATAAACGAGGTGATAGCACGCAGCCCTGTGGAACACCAGTGTTCAAGACCCTACAGTCAGATAGTGTTGTCAACTCAAACTCGCTAGACTCTTCCTCTTAAAAAGTTGCTAATCCACAACACAAGATGGCTGCTGACATTTAGATCATGTAGGCGTTTTAAAAGTATATGTGGCTGAACCGTATTAAAAGCTGATGAAAAGTCCATGAATGATATGCGAACAAATGTCTTTGGGTTGTCTAAATGATTGTGGACCTTGTTGAGGAGGGAGAGAGTGGCATCCTCCACCCCTCGGTTAGTCCATAGGCAAACTGCAAAGGGTCCATATGCTCAGCTGTAACAGACATGAGTTCCCTGCTCACTAAGCGCTCCATACATTAAAATAATACAGATGTGAGGGCAATTGGTCTGAAGTCATTCAGTGCCTTTGCATGTGTTATTTTGGGCACCGGGACATCCATCCATCCATCCATTATCTTTACCCGCTTATTCCATTTTGGGTCGCTGGTGCCCATGTCCAGCAATCACTGTGCGAGGGGCGGGGTACACCCTGGACAGGTCGCAAGTCCATCACAGGGCCACATAGAGACAAACGAGACAAACAACCATTCACTCTCTCACTCACACCTAGGGACAATTTAGAGTTACCAATCAGCCTAACATGCATGTTTTTGGTCTGTGGGAGGAAACCGGAGCACCCGGAGAAAACCCACGCATGCACGGAGAGAACATGCAAACTCCAAGAATCTTCCAAACAAGCCCAATTTTATTTAACTTTAGTTTTTTTATTCTCAAAATAAACTGATGAATATGTTCATTCTCTACACATTGACATGTTGCAGTTTGACCTCACAACAAACTTCTTGATTACTAGAAAAATAGTTAATTTTAAGTTTTCCACTTGTAGTAATGTTTTTTTACAGCAGAAGATTAAAGTCCATATTTGTTAAAATAGTCTTATAACATTTCTCAGAGTGATGCATCATCCTACAACCTTCACACTACAATGTACAGGCTAAAGTCTTTATTAAATAATTGCTGATATTTTTATTCTTTCAGTAAATGTATCGGCTGTTATCTGAGAGTGATGTTACAATACAAGATATTTTTCAACACGCTGTACCTCAAAATACTATCAGCAGAAACAAACAAAAAAAGTTGCCTGTTTGGCTGTAAATGGGATTTTATACTAAAGACCATGCCCAAAACACAACTGAAACATTTGGTCTGGGGGCTTTCGGGGGATGGTAACATGTACGTCTCCTAGTTTCTTCTCAGTGTTTTCGTGTTTTATTTTTGCTGGATTAAAACGCTGCGCATGTTGCGAGGCAGATTTGTTCATAACTTGAGTCATGGGCTTTGTTCATGAGTTTTCCTCTAAAGCAGCTAAACCTTTTCAAAGTCGATCAGAGCTTACTGATGGCTCACAGTAATCGTTTTTCTTCTGTTGCTCCGTTCATTTGTTGTGATTTATACAGAGTATTTCTTTGCAGGGCAGTCGTTGGGGAGATTTGGTGGGAATCTGTCGGTTCCTCATCGCCAAACTGCGATGGGAAGGATTTAGGCCTCAGGCTGAGAGAATTAGCAGCACTCTTCTTTTCGATCAGTTATGAAAGCCGGTGCAGTATTAGTCACACGGAGGTTTTACAACCTGCGTAGAAATATGTTATCAGAAAGCGTGACGCATTCTACTTCAGAGTTATTTATAGAAACTAACGATTTTCTGAGTGGATTGAACTGAGAGTTGAAAAATGAAAAATGCAGATTAAGACTTTTTTTTTTTTTTTTTTTCAAATCTGGATGCACTTTTTATTAATTATTTCTTCAGGATTTTTCCTGAAGTTTTTTTTTTTTTTTTTTTTAGATTTCTTTATACTTTTATCTTTTATTTATTAATTTGCTGACTGCTGCTTTTGGTAGCTTTTTTTTCCCCCAAACTATTAAAACAATTTCTATATGCCTAAAATATCTGTTATCGTGGTGTCTTTGTAAGATGTCATAGTTAATTACAAATAATATTTAATGTTAACATTGTATTAGATCATTTATTTGCCTTCAGTTTAAGACTTGAAAATAAATGGTCTGCTGTTCGGTTGAGTTTTTTTGTAAGATTATGTGAGCAGTCTTTGATGTGTGTGCAGGGTTGAGCGTTCAACGGACCAGGTCATGAAGCCAGTGAACACAGAAGCCCTCTCTAAGTGGGTTGGGAACATCCCCCCCGACGTGATCAATGACATGGCAGAAATTGCCCCGATGCTTGCTCGCCTGGGCTATGACCCTCACGCCAACCCCCCCGACTACAATAAAATAGAGCCCCTCGTTTCGCCCCTCAACTACTCACAGGTGAGCAGAACAAACTGAGAATCTCTTTCTTTTAATACATCTCTCTCCAACAAAATAATGTGCATTATTCTCATAAAGCTGCTCAGTTATGACTCGTTCCAATGTGCAGGTAAAGACAGGAAATACTGTTTTTGATACGTCACAGCAGGCTGCTGTGTGGTAGCCGCGACCAGCTAGTCACCTAAAAGTGAAGAGATGGAAGCTTTGGTTGCAAATAAAACCTCCAGAATTCATTTAAAATGTATTTTGCTTCTTATCGTCGCAATGTTGTGATGCATCGTAAACATCTAAAGCAGGGCTATTCAACTAAATTGCTCAGGGGGCCACAGTTACTGAAAGCCAAGAGCTCAGGGGCCAGACATCCAGCAGTTATTGTCATTGAGTAAATTTGTTTTATGGTTTAAAATGTAGTTTTATTTAAAAGTGAACCCATTGGTGGGCCAAACTGAGCACACCCATGGGCCTGATTTGACCCCCGGGCCCCAGCTGAATAGCCCTGATCTAAATCTGTGACAGTTATGGGTTAGCATCAATGGCTACTGCACTAACATGATTTCTCACTCATCCTTGGCGATATTCAGGCCTGCAGACGGTTTACTGTCATTTTAATACAAATCCAACTGAAATGCAGCGTTGACTTGAGGTTTCATTGCTTTATCTTTCTTTTCCTTGTCCGTTTTGGTCATTTCTCTTTAAATCTGTAAACATATCGTCTCCTCTTTCCTTAGAGAGTGAAAACAGCCGACTCTCCTCACCCCAGTTAAGCGTGACTCCTTTGTTCCACCATATGGACGCACCTTAAACACCAACTTCCATCTCAGCCGTAATTACACCTCCCAGGAGACCTTGGTGTTACCACCAGTGTATTTATAATTGTTCTCGAGACTTGTGTGCAGTCGGCGTCCTCGACTGTACACTAACGGGATGTTTAAATTACAGACTCCATCGTGTAGTTCGAGGTTCGACTCTTCATCTGAAGCGAACAACCTGCTCACATGCCATCATTTCATCCATGGTGAACTGTATCACACTGCGTTTGACACGTCCCGTCACCTACTTGAAAGTGTTTCAACATGTCTGTAAGTTGTAACGACTTCATCACAATGTGAATGTCTTCAAAAGATTCACTGACGCCTCAGTGTTCATGAATGACTGTATATTTTTTGATTGAGATGTTTATTTTCTTAATAAAATATTTTGAATTTGACCATTCACTATGGATTTTTAAATGTTGATTATTGTTGAATAAAAATAAAAAGAGCCAAAATTTCACCTTATGACGTGAACGTAGTTCTTTGATCAGAATATGAAGTTGTAAAATACACAGCGCCCTCTAGTGTCGCCTGGTCAACATAGCATTCTTACGCTACACGATAAAGGGAAGACAGTTTTCCATAAATGCACAAAGTGAAACAAAAATATTTTGTGTATTTGTTACAGTCTTCACCCTTTCAGGTTTTGCAATGAGCCACAAGCATCTGGACAGGTTGCTGCTCATCTCTGGATGGGAGCGTGGCAGGAACTGGGTTTTGCTCCTCAGTGGGCAGCTGGGGAGGCCAGACCCCCCTGCTGCTTGCTAAGTTGACTGAAGAAGCTGGAGCTTCTGAGCTGCACCTGATCATGTAGAGGAAACATCTGGAGAACTGAGAGACACAAATGTAGGTGAGAGCAGCACATCAAACCTGATAGACAATTTACTTCAAAAATAAAATAAAATGGCTGAACAACAAATAATAATTCAAGGTGTATAATATGGGGCTATCTGAGGATTATAAAACAAAACAAATAATCATGTACCCAAATTTTATTGTTTGTTTTCTAAAATTTAAAGTGAAAAGTTTATTTTGCTCATCATGGACTCAACTGCTCATGATTGCCTGCTAGTAGTTTCGCTGTGAGTTCTGTAAGAAAACTCAAACTTTTCCCCTCGGCAACGTCTTCCCATAGATTCTTAGAAAAACTCGAGCTCTGAAGTGGAAGCTACTGGAAGACCAGCATTACTGCCTACATTAAAGTGAGCTAGCTGCTGCTACTCATGCTTACAAACAGAATTATTAGTAAATACGTCATGCAAAACTGAGCAATGTAAAGGTTTAGAAATGGTGTTTGCTTTAATTGTGACGTAATGTTTGAGATTAGAGTTGTGTCAGAACAGCAGCAATCCTCTGCTCTGCTTGAGCTAGCAGAATGAAACTTATTTCTCCTAACTGAGGCTGTTCAAAGAGCTATCTATGACAGGTAAGATATTAATTGCTCATATGTTTTCCACAGAACACCACTGCAAAATATCTGATTGATAGTTTAAATATATCTGCTGCACAAAACACAGCATTACTTAAAATAAATTCAAAACCACAGTGCCCTTCACCTGGGTGTTGAGCAACATGTAGATGATGGGGTTAATGACGGTGCTGGTCTTGGCCAGAAGAGAGGGGATCAAGCTGCCAACAGGTGTCATTACGCCTGGCCGTCCAAAGGAGGCAATCATCGCTACAACTCCGTAAGGCATCCAGCACAACAGGTATCCTGTCACCATGGTGACCACCATCAGGAGGACACGCCTCTCGGTCTGATCAGATGCTGATCGGTTGATCCTGCCCACCTAGTGGGGGACGTTCTTTTCAAATAACCAATAAACCAAAAAAACAGGTTTGTCATCACAAAAGGGTCAAAGGTGAGAACTGACCTGTCTCGCCACACTTTGGACAGCCAGCAGGAGCCGGCCGTAGCAGAAGAACATAAGCAGCAGCGGCAGGAGGAGGCAGAAGATGAACAAACAGCTGATGTAGGAGCGAGCTGTGGCCGAGCGCTGCTGCCACTGGACCGAGCAGACTGTGCCGGGACCCTCCGGCCCATAGCTGCTTCACAAGAGGCACAAAACAAAACCAAGTTTGATTTGTGTCCTGATTTATTTGAATAATAATAATAATACTTTGAGCATTAAATGATCAAACTTCTTTGAATCACATATGAGAGAAGTGAAGAGTTGTCAGTGCGGACCTGCTCCAGCCCAGCAGCGGTGGCAGAGTCCAGATCAATGAGTAGAACCATGAGATGGCTACGGCAAGTCTGGCTCTGCGGTACTGAGAGTTCAGCTGGGTCCCACGAAGCAGCACGGAGTACCGCTCAAAGGACAACAAGGAGAGAGACACCAGAGACACAACGCCTGCCAGGCAGACAAAGGTCAATCTGAGAACAATATCGCCATGACAACAGGCTCACATTAATGTAAACTTTTTAGTTATATAGCACATTTAAAAACAACAGTGACCCAAGTGCTTCACAAGCAAGAAATCAGCAATAAAGTAAACTAGAGAAATCGCATTTCCTATGAAAATGCAATGTGAATGCTTATTGCTAAAGAATTTGTGGAAAAACAGCTGAAATTAGCTACAAACTTGCTAAATTGTAGCTGAAATGGAAGAACAGGCCCAAAGTAGCAGAAGAAAGCAGAAAGAACACATATTTGCTGAATTAGGATTAAATAAGCAGAATGAGCACAAAAATTAGGAAATAACTAAAAACAGCTGAAATCAGAAAAAAAAAAACTGCTGAAAGTAGCTGAAAAGGCAGAAAAGGTTTAAACAACCAGAAAGAACTAAAATTAGCAACCAAAAAAAAGTGGAATTAGTTGAAAAAGCTAAAATTAACATAAAACAGCTAAATAGTAGCTGAAATGGCAGAAAATGCTGAAACTAGCAGAAAAAAAACCTGAAAGGAGCACATGCTGAAAGTTACCACAAAAAATGAATTTATCAGAAAACAGCTGAAATTAGCTAAAAATGCTACAAAAGGTAGCTGAAAATGTAGAACAAGCTTAAGTTAGCAGAGGAAAACAGAAAGAGCACATTTTCTCAATTAAACTGAAAGAAGCAGAAATTAGCACAAAAAGTGGAAATTATCTGAAAAAGATGAAATTAGCAAAATCTGCTGAAAAGTAGCTAAAAAGGCAGAACGAATTTTAAATTACCAGAAGGAAGCAGAGAAAGCACATTTTAAGCTAAATTGGGCTGAAATTTTTTTTAATGAGTGCAAAAATGTGGAATTAGCTGAAAAGGTTAAAATAAGCATAAAAACAGTTGAATTGTAGCTGAAATTGCAGAAAAAGCTGAAAGTGGTAGAAATAAGCTGAAAGCAGCATAACAAGCTGAAATTAGCTGAAACAAGTTAAAAGAAGCACAAAAATGTTGTAGTTAGCAGAAAGAATCTGAAAGGAGCACAAAACAGCTGAAAGTAGCTGGAAAAATGTTTAAATTTGCACAAGGAAGCTGAAAGAAGCTGAACCAGAACAAAATGTGAAAGGAGCAGTAAAAGGTTGTAAACAGATCTAAAAATTTGAAGTATGTTAAATGAGCTCAATTCATTTTTTTTATGAGAGAAAAGGGGCAAAAAAGGCTAAACAGTTCAAAAAGCTAAAGCTGCACCAAAAGTCATATCACTCCTGAACGATCTGAACGTTTTGATATGATTTGTTGAAATAGCACAAAAATTGTGGAACAAGAAAGATGCAGAAAAACATATGGAAGAAAAATGGACCTCAATAGTGTGAATGCTTCATAAACATTCACACAATTAAAGATCAAGCATTAAAAACACAAGTGTAATAAAAATGACTAAGAACAAACTAAAATAAGAAAATAACCTAAAAGGTGCAGATGGAAACTCAAACCAAACTTGAGTTAAAAGCCAGAGAAATAAAGTGAATTGAATCTGGATTTAAAGGACTCTGCAGAACGAATATTAACGGGTAGATTGTTCCAGAGTCTGTGTTCTGTTTGGATTATAAAAATGCAAAAGATCCATTAAGTAACTGGGTGCTGAGCCATTTAAATTTTAATTAAAAGTCAGTAAAACAGTCTTAAAATCAATACCAAAAGGAACAGGTGTGTAAATCAGCTTAAACAGGAGTGATGCGATCCTGCCTTCTGGTTCCAGGTAAAAGATGCACTCTGGACTAACTGCAGGCGATGGAGAGACGATTGTTCCAAACCAACATATAAAGAGTTGCAGTCGTCCAGTCTGGTGGTGATGAAAGTGCGGATGACAGTTTTGAAGTCTTTAAGAGGAATGTAAGATTTTACTTTGGCTATTTGATGTAACTGATAAAAACTGGTTTTGACAACTGTTAATATTTGCTTATCAAATTTAAAAGAACTGTCTAAAATCACCCCAAGATTCTTGACCACAGAGGAGCAAGCGGACCCAGAATTTCAGCCCAAAGACAGGAGTCTGGTTTCCAAACACAAGAACTTCATTCAGTCTCTGTTTCATTCAGGGTCAGACAGTTCTGGTTTAACCAGTCATTGACATAATTTAATTAAACTGAGGCTGCAATGGGGCAGAGACATTAGATCTAAAAGGGAAAAAAATAGTTGGATGTTGTAAACGAGAGGACAAAGGTAACATTCACTGTTTTACTGCTCCCTCTGCAATGTGACAAAACCTGACGAACCACCCGCCTCCTCTTTCTGCTCTCAAACAGAACAGCTCCAGTTTGTCCAGTTCTCCTTCAGAACAAACGTTTAAAGAGAAGTGCAAGTAAAACTTACACGGTCACTGGGATTAGGAGGTGACATGGAGCAACAAGTTCAGTTCATCTCCTGTTCGATCTGTTTGGACCTACTGAAGGATCCGGTGACTATTCCCTGTGGACACAGCTACTGCTTGAGCTGTATTGAAGCCCACTGGGATGAAGAGGATCGGAAAGGAATCCACAGCTGCCCTCAGTGCAGGAAAACGTTTATGCCAAGACCTGTTCTTGTAAAAAACACGATGTTGGCAGCTTTGGTGGAGGAGCTCATGAAGACTGGACTCCAGGCTGCTCCTGCTGATCACTGCTACGCTGGAGCTGAAGATGTGGCCTGTGATGTCTGTGCTGGAAGGAAACTGAAAGCCGTCAAGTCCTGTTTATTCTGCCTGGCCTCTTACTGTGAGAATCACCTTCAGCCTCATTATGATTCAGCTACATTTAGGAAACACAAGCTGGTGGAGCCCTCCAGGAACCTCCAGGAGAACATCTGCTCTCGTCATGATGAGGTGATGAAGATGTTCTGCCGTACTGATCAGAACCTTATCTGTATTCACTGCCTAATGGATGAACATAGAGGCCACGACACGGTCTCAGCTGCAGCAGAGAGGACGGAGAGGCAGAGAGAGCTCGAGGTGAGGCGAGAAACGATCCAGCAGGAGATCCAGGACAGAGAGCAAGATGTGGAGCTGCTTCAACAGGAGGTGGAGGCCATCAATCAGTCTGCTGATAAAACGGTGGAGGACGGTGAGGAGATCTTCACTCAGCTGATCCGTCTCATCCAGAAAAGAAGCTCTGACATGAAGCAGCAGATCAGAACCCAGCAGGAAACTGAAGTGAGGCGAGTCTTGGAGCTTCAGGAGAAGCTGGAGCAGGAGATCACCGAGCTGAAGAGGGAGGACGCCGAGCTGAAGCAGCTCTCACACGTAGAGGATCCCAACCAGTTTCTCCACAACTATCCCTCAGCGTCAGCTCTCGGTGAGTCTCCAAACTCATCCGGCATCAACATCCGTCCTCTGAGATACTTTGAGGACGTGACAGCAGCCGTGTTAGAGCTCAGAGACAAACTGCAGGACACCCTGAGAGACACATGGACAAACATCTCACAGACTGTCTCTGAGGTGGAGGTCTTACTGTCAGAACCAGAGCCAAAGAGCACAGCTGGATTCTTAAAACATTCATGTGAACTCACACTGGACCCAAACACAGCGTACGCACAGCTGTTATTGTCAGAGGGGAACAGGAAGGCCACACTGACCGAGTTCAGTCTGCGCTACGCTGATCATCCAGACCGATTCACTGATTACTGCCAGGTTCTGAGCAGAGAGAGTCTGACTGGTCGCTGTTACTGGGAGGTGGAGTGGAGAGGAACACAAATTTTCATAGCAGTCACATACAAGGATATCAACAGAGTGGGAAACGGATGTCAGTTCGGGTTTAATGACAAATCGTGGGCGTTACGTTGTTGCCAAAATAGTTATGAGCTTTGGTACAACAAAGTCTCCACCTCCATTCCAGGTCCTTGTTCCTCCAGGATCGGAGTGTACCTGGACCACAGAGCAGGTGTTCTGTCCTTCTACAGCGTCTCTGAAACCAGGACTCTACTCCACAGAGTCCAGACCACGTTCACTCAGCCGCTGCACGCTGGACTTTGGATCGACGGTGCGTTTGACTTTGCCAATGCTGAGTTCTTTAAACTTAAATGAGCCATGCAGCATTCCTTGAAGAAATGTGCACGCCACAAAGGACAATAGCCTAAAGAACGATGTTGTACGTCCTGTCTTGGAGTATGAGATGGAGGAGACTCTCAGTTACTACCACGCCAAATTTGAGCTTCTTGGCTGTAAAACTGACTGATTTAAAGCCACTACTGTGCCTACAGAGCCGGTCCAGAAGTGTAAATGGAAACGCAACAGACCCGAGCCGATCGGAACCGACCTGAACTGACCTGATCCGCACTGTGACAGTGGAAAAGGGGCATTAAATGAAGTAGGAGATGTCATAGAAGGAACAGCCTCTTCCTTCTTCCTGCTCTGCAGAATGTTTACGTAAATATGTGCTTGTTTGTGCGAAGTGTTTTTTCAATATTAGAGGTTTTTCTCAGCCAAGAAAAAAGTCTGATAGGAATTTTTTTCGCCTCCAATTCCTACATGTGTCCAGTTAACCACTGTTTTTTGTCTGGCCAAACAGGTCTCACTTGTAAATGAGTCTTCGAGGCTCAATGTGATTTATCTGTTTAAATAAAGGTTGAATGAATAGTAAATGAATTGAGCTCATTTTACATCCTTCAAATCTTTAGATCTGTTTACAACCTTTTACTGTTCCTTTCACATTTTGTTCTGCTTCAGCTTCTTTCAGCTGTCTTGTGCAAATTTAAACTTTGTTTCAGCTACTTAATCTGATTTCAGCTGGGGGGTTCAGCTGTTTTGTGCTCCTTTCAGATTCTTTCTGCTAATTACAAGATTTTTGTGCTTCTTTTAACTTGTTTCTGCTAACTTCAGCTTATGCTCCTTTCAGCTTATTTCTGCTAGTTTCAGCTTATTTCTGCTAATTTTAGCTTTTTCAGCCAGTTCCACATTTTTGTACTCATTTTAACTTTTTTCAGCCTAATTCAGCAAAAATGTGCTCTCTCCACTTCCTTCTGGTAATTTAAGCGTCTTTCTCCCCTTTTAGCTACTTTTCAGCAGTTTATTTTTTTTATTTTTTTTACTAATGTCCACTTTTTTGTGCTCATTTCTGCTTCAGCCTAATCGAGAAAACATGTTTTTTCTGTTTTCTTCTGCTAATTTAAGCTTATTCTACATTTTTAGCTACCTTTTTTTTTAGCGTTTTTAGCTAATTTCAGCTGTTTTCAGATAAATTCAGTTTTGGTGGTAATCTCTGCTAATTTCAGCTTGTTATGCTCATTTCAGCTTTTTTCTGCTAGTTTCAGCATTTTCTGCTATTTCAGCTACTATTTAGCAGCTTTGTACTAATTTTAGCTTTTTCAGCTAATTCAACATTTTTTAGCTCATTTCAGCTCTTTCTGCTTCTTACTGTTTTTTAAAGCTTTTTTCTGTCTTTTCAGCTGTTTTTTGTTGTTGTTGTTGCTATTTTCAGCTTTTTTTTGTGCTAATTTCCTAATTTTTGTGCTAATTTCTGTTTATTTAATCTTAATTCAGTAAATCTGAGTTATTTCTGCTTTTTTGGCTAATTTAGGCTTGTTTTTCCATTTCAGCTACAATTTATCAAGTTTTAGCTAATATCAGCTCAACCTAGCTCCAAGGTCAAGGTCACAAATTAAGGTCAAATATTATACCAGGTCTTGCTTGTTCAGGCCATTGCCATTTGCTGTGTTTGTACAGTTTGTCGACGGTTGTATAATGTGCCGTAGGCAGTACTCGTTTAATACCTTTAATGCCTCTTAGTTTATAAAATAAGTACTGGTTATTTAAATAGATCTTTGTAAAATACATTGAAACTGGATAATTTACATTTTCTGCTCAAACAGCCTACTGTATGCTGAATGGTACTAAAAGTAGTAAAGGTTGGCTAAAAGTATTTAAAGGCTAGCTGAATAGAACAGAAGCTAAAAGCTAAACAAAGCAAAAACTATTTAAAAGTAGTTAAATTATAGCTAAAAACCTAAAAGTGACATACAAAAAATGTTGAGGAAAAATGATGAAGCAGATTTCAAAGATACAAAAACGACATATGCAAAAAAATTACAGAAAAATAAATTCAGAAAAACAGCATTTTTATGATTAATAAATTATTCAATCTGATTTTCTAATCATGCTCAAATGAAACACAGGTAGATAAAAATAAACCCTAAAAAAAAAAAAAAGAGTACACAGAACTATCATGTTTTATCTCACGTGGACCAGGACTATTCAACTCACGACCCGTGGGCCACATCTGGTCTGTGGATGAGCTCAGTTCGGTCCACCAGTGAGTTCATTAAGAATAAAAACCGTCATCACAATGAGAATACAACTGGGCATTTTTATTACAATTATAAATGATTTGCCAATAAATACTGAAATATAACCGAGGCTGAACTGATTTTAAACTGCTGTGTGTGAAAACGGTTCACTTACCGAACAGCGCGTTGCAGAAGCCGTACCAGCGACACCCGTAGTTTCCGGTCAGCCACCTGCCGCGCAGACTGGCTGCAAAGCTGAGCGGAGTGCCGAACAGGCAGACCAGCATGTCGCTGAAGCTGATGTTGATGAGGAGCAGGTTGGCCGGAGTCCGCAGCTCAGGGAAGCGGGAAAACACCAGGAACACCAGGAAGTTCCCGAGGAAGCCCAGGACCAGGATGAACCCCAGAATGACCGCAGTCGCCGTGTGACCCGCCCGGCTCAGAGCTCCAGAGTCTGACACGCCGGGACTCTGTTCGGTGCTGAAGTTGTTGCTATGATGCAAGAGGATCACCATGGCAACATGAGAGTGGAAAGACTTAAACCAAAAGATGATATTTTCCTAAAAAAAATGTCTTGACATACAAAATCCTTCTATAATTTAGTGGGCAAAAAATGGAGCTGAAGAAAAAAAAAAAAACTAGCTTGGTTTTAAATGAAGAACGGGGGGGGGGGGGGGGGGGGGTGGATCCTTTTCTTTTGACCCTATTGTGCCTATTGTCAAAACTCGTAACATTTGTACAAAAAAATAAATATGCCTAAAACAGATGTGCTTATTATCGGGGGAAACCTTGCAAAAGACGAGCATCACTTTCAGAAACGTGTCTTTGACTTGTTCATGTTTCTTTCCTCCAAAGCAGATTGTGGACCCTAATAAATGAGTCAACCTATCAATAATTCAAGCTCCGGCTGGCTGAGAGGCTCAGCCAAAGATCCACTCACCCATGAGCTAAAATGCTGAGGCTTGTGACTAACAAACGTATTCTACAGTTTGAGTACAAAAACACATTTACCTCTCTCAAACACACATATTTATTGTATTCTCTCTCACTGTGTTCTCTTTTTAAGCCCTCAAATAAGACGGCTTAAAAAGCCCTTTATTTGAGGGCTTTTTTGTTCCACAATGCAGCAAATGTTTTCAATTGTTGAACTACAGGGAGAACAGTTCAGCACCTGGACTTAAACTACGAAGCACTGACTCAAAATAAAGTCCAGTTGTTTTTGTCTCAAACTTTTTTGAATTTACCATGTCCTAGATGACTGAGAATCTTCACCAGCGTACGAAGCAATGTTTTTTTTAATGGAAGTGCTATGCAGTTAAGCAATGTCTTGCTGAAATATGCAAAACCTTCTTTAAAAAAAAAAAGATATCATCCAGATGAGACCATGCAATGTTCTATACTGTTCTGCATTGATGGAGCCTTTCCAGACGTCTAATCTGTGTCTAATCTTCATTTATTGATCTGCTTCCTGATATTATTTGAGTACATTAATAACCTTTATAATTATTTTATTACTTTAAGGCCATTCCATCCATCCATTATCTTTACCTGCTTCTTCCTTTTCGGGTCATGAGGGTCACTGCATGGTGCCCATATCTAGCAGTCACTGTGTGAGAGGCGGGGGACACCCTGGACAGGTCGCCAGTCCATCACAGGGACACATAGAGACAAATGAGACAAACAACCATTCACTCTCTCACTCACACCTAGGGCCAATTTAGAGTTACCAATCAGTCTAACATGCATGTTTTTGGTCTGTGGGAGAAAACTGAACATGCAAACATGCAAACTCCACCCAGAAAGGCTCCTGTCCGGGGTTTGATCCTGCAACCTTCTCACTGAGAGGCAACAGCTCTTTCAGCTGATAGCCACTGTGCCACCCAGCTTTGTAACACATTTGATGAAATCTACACCTGATCATCTGTGAATCACTTTTTTTTTCTACAACATAATCTACCCATGCCAGACGCCCTAATGCACCCCCATACCATAAGAGAGTTGCATTTCTGGATGGTGTTCACATAGTTTCTTCTTTGCATGAAAGAGCTTTAACCTGCTGTATTTATTTGTGTATAGGCTAATGCAATCTCAAGTGTAATGTGACCCACACTTTTTTTTAGCTTAAAAAGCACAACAAAATCTAAACGTGATGTATAATGCTATACCCCTAATTACATACAGACTTCATGATTTTTCAGCATTTGTGGTCTGCATACATATCAACAAAATGATCTAATGATGATTGTGGTATCAGATATTTTTATTTTAACAGCATATGTTGTTCGCTGGCATTTACAATAAGAAGGCATGTTCGAGCAGACAACTGTAGCAGACAGTCAACCAGAAGGTGTCAGTGGGTATCTGGTGGTGACGTCAACGAGTGGCGCTTTTGCCTAGCTCAGCTTAGCATAGCTTCGTGTTTGTACATGTTTTATGTGGTGGAAATTTAACGCCATGAGACCCCTCCCCAATTTATGGATGGTTTTTGTGGTTAAATTTTTTTTGTATTATCCACAAATAAATATGGTACATTTGTGGGCGGCACAGTGAACCTGTCTTTACAGTGATTTTAAGTGTTCCAGTGATGTCAAGAACAGAAGCAGGCCTGCTGCACCGCTGCCTGCATGGCCAGAACATCCCAGTCATATACTGTACTGACTTTCAGCTTTTGACCTTTGAACTGACATTTCTCCAGATTCTTATACTTTGATGACACTGTAGATAATCAAAAACAAAAATCTTACCAAATTGTTGTGGATGATCATTATTCTGAAATCGTTCCACTTTGCTTAGATGCAGGTTTTTACAGACTGCTGAACCTCTGCCCATCTTTACTTCTGAAAGATTCAGCCTCTCTTAAAAGCCTTTCTAAATAACCAGTCCTGTTATGACCTGATGCTAATTTACCCAGTTCATTGCAAACATTCTTCTTCAGTTGTTTCTCATATCGTTTTACAGCCTGTTGTTGGCCCTGTTTTGTCTTTTTAAGATTTTTTTTTTTAATTGTGAAAAAATTGCACAATTTCTTAGTCTCAATATTTGATGTTCCATTTACGAGATTTGCAAACCAATGCATTTTGTTTTTATTTACATTTTATACATTTATTGTAAAATAATAATAATAATGATAATGTGGCGTGTCGTTTTAGTTGGGTTTTGACTTGGTTATTATTTGCTCCAGAATTTAGATTATGGTGAAACTTAAAATATTATTAATATAATTTGGTTAATTAATTATTATGTAACTGTGTCGTCAAAGCGCCTAAAGTTCATATCCGCGCGAGGAGCCTGCATCACCACACTGCAGTGACGTAGAAGGAGGACGTTTCCGTAGCAACTGTGGCCCGGTCCTTTACGCGCAGCTGCCGCGGTTTTACCGGAGTGATCCACCGGTGGTGGCCGGGATACCGCCTCAGACACGCGGAGCCTCGAGACACGCGGGCCACGCAGCGCCGAGGAACGAGCCCGCAGCTCTATGAGATGCTGAATATGTGGAAAGTCAGGGAGCTCGTGGACAAAGCGTGAGTACCGGGGAGGGGAAGGGGAGGCAGGTGGAGCTAGCTGGAGCTACACCGCCCAGTGGCTCGTAATGTCGCCGGAAAGCGAGCGGCGTCCTGCCGGCAGCATCAGCAGCTCTCACCGCTGGCACGGAGGGACGGGGCCGTGATGTCACCGTGGTAGCCTTCAGCTGTTAGCTTTGACGGGCTGGCTTGCTGCCAGTACTTAACATTTTTTTATTTTATTTTACATATTTTTAAAGCTGTTTCATGTCGCGGTGCCTCTCGTGCTACTTCACGCGCTAACACCAACCTGGAAAACGCAACCATTATAAACAGTTTACGTTTGACCCTAACCAGTTAGCTAATGAGGCTAAGGATGCTAACAGGTTGTGTTCCTGCCGTGGGGGTGCTGCTGCTGCAGACCCAAGACCCACCCCCACGCCCTGTCCCGCCCTGCTGATGCTCACTCAGACGGCATTAAACTGCGACTGAGGGCTGATAGTTAGCAATGGAAACACGAGTAGCAAAATAACTGTGGTGGAGCAGTGTGTAATATGTCCTCCCCAGCATCGGTCTTTGAAGGCCCAACAACAAAGCTCAATGGCCCCCACAATAAACTGCAGTTGTTTAAGCCGCAGTTTTAAATGCCTGTTTCTTTGTTGTCTTTATGTTTGTTATAACTCAGTGCAGTTCGTGCAGAGGAGGAAGAACTGCATCTTCCTCTCCTGTCTGTTCCCTCTGCATCATGAACTGCATAAATTACCTTTGTGCTGAGTACAACCACCTCAGATCTGTAGAACATGTCTATCTTGGTTTTACTCAGCGGAGTTAGTTAAAGCCAGAACAAAAGGCAAAATGCACAATATTTCAATGTCTTTGGTTTGATTTTTGTTATTTTATTTTGTTTTATATCACAACTTTTATTTTATATGCATTTTATGGCCGTTTATTGTTGTGTGCACCTCACCTGTGTTCGTTGTTTAAAACAGGTCTCTTGTAAATGAGTCTGAGTGATAACTCAGACTTTTTCTTCTTCTTTCGGCTTCTCCCTTCTTCAGGGGTCGCCACAGCGAATTATGTCGCATGAAGATTTGGCAATTGTTTTTACACCGGATGCCGGAATTCCTGACACAACCACCGACCACCGAGCTACCACAGCCCTCTGTGTGGAGCAGAGAGCTGCTATGTAGGGTGCCCGGGGGAGCAGATGGTGGGGGTTAAGGGCTTTGCTCAAGGGCCCAAAGTGGGAGAAATGAGGGTGGAGGCAGGAGTGGGTGTTTCACCGTTTCCACCCACGTTTTTGATGTTGTCGGTCTGGGGAGTTGACCCGGGGTTGACTGGCGACCCTCAGATCACAGGCCCACCTGCTCAATCCTCTGTGCCACCACTCCCCCAACTTTGGCTTTAACCCTCGAGGGTTAAAGGGTTATCTATCTCCGCCAGTGAATCCCCCCCAAATCACTCTACTGCCCCTTTTCCATATCGACTCTCGCTCTTTTAGTTGTTTGTTTTCTGAAGAAGAGAACTTGAACTTTTCATTTTTGACCGGCCGTCTCTGATTTCATTGTTTTTCCTCTGACTTTATTTACATTCTGGGATTGTTTTACTAACTCACACTCAGTCACGTCTGAAGTGTTCAAATGTAAGTAAGCCACTTGTCATTGGAAACCTTTGGTTGTATGTTTGCGTGTTTAGTGGTTACTTTATCATTGATGATACACATACAAAACATTTCAAATCAAAACATTGAAAAAATGTGTATTTTGACAGCTGTACGGCTTTAAGACAAACTTTCACAAGATCTTTTCTTCAAAGCAAGAAAACGGTTTTTACTTAAAAGTGATCGTTGATAGTTCTTTCAGCAATGAATACATGTGTTTGATAAATCTGAGCTGACCTCAGTCACATGCATTGATCATTAATTTCCATTCATTGATGTGAAAACAGCCTGGTAAAACTATCAGAAACAGTTTTTCAGTCACCTGTATTTGCCACTGTTTGTATACCTTCCTCCTCTGTGGCTGTTTGTAAGGGGCTTCTGATTTTGGGTCAACTATTGATGCTCAATGTCAGGTTTAGTTTGCAAAGCTGATTTCTGTAAAATCAATGCAAACAGATTAGACATTTACGGAAAATGGTTTTTGCTTTGCAGCCAAAACGTAGCAGTCACTGACAACAATGCGATATAAAAGTGGCCCTAAACTAATAAAGAAAATTATTATATTTATTATAAAACATAATTAAAGTGTCACTCCAGTTGGTGAATTGATGAAGATATTGTTAATCATTTATTTGGGCTTGTTAGTTTTTTTTTTTATCTTTATATCAACTTCACATGCGGAGTGCCTTAATATTTTTTTCTAGTAAGAACACTTAGTAAAATACTGTTGTAGATAAAACTTTTACTCTAATAAAGTTGGCACAATCGGACCAATTTAAATTCCATTCAAATAAAAAAAAAAACTTTATTCCCCCAATTTCCCCAAAGGGAAATTAATTGTTGTAGCTCATCCTGGTTTCATTAGAGTTGTTATAGATGCTGATGGCTGTGGGCAGGAAGGATTTCTTGTAGCAATCTGTCCCACAGCGGATCCGAAGAAACTGGTTGCCCATGCCGATCCCTCCACCCAGACCCAGCAGATCTCTCGGTCCTCTTGGGCAGCAGAACCACCTGAATGCCAGGCAGAACTCCTCAGTCCTCCCGCTGTCACGAACCATGTTTCCCGCCACCTCCAAGATCTCGGTGGTCAGGCATTTGAGCACCGCCTCTAGGTAGATGGGAATGCATCCACGGCACTTCCTTTTCAACTCATTTGGGACTTGGGGCTGTAGTTGCGGTATTATTTGAGCTTTTGAGATGTTAATTAGCAACTCCCAGTTGTAGAAGGCCACCTTGTTGTCATGGTTACACATCATAACAAACGTCCAAAAGTAAAAAGGTTTCAGTAAAAATCCTTCCAGCTGCACGGCGTCAAAAACCAGAGGAAATATTCATCCAAAAAAAGCGATTTACATCCAGAAAGAACAAATAATTCAAGTTTTCAAAAGCAAAATGTCAGAATGAATGTAAGAGAGCTACTCCAACATGCAACCACCTTGAGTGGCGCAATTCTAGAATTCATTTTGTGGGATGTAAAAAAAATCTTAGTTACTTTAAACTAATTTTGGCTGATGGTATTTTAGATTTAGATCACAAAGTGCATCTCTGCTGTCTCTGCAACAAATCCCAACTTGACAAACCCTAAAACGTTCAGTAAGTGTCTCAGTGGCTTTTAGTTAGCACTGATGATCTGATTTTTTACTTTAACCATGAAAGCTAAAAACCTAGGAATATAACCTTTGTGGCTGTAAGATTATTGTCTAGCCTTTGAATAAAACAGTTTTAGCTAAACGTATTTGATAAACCTGAGTGGTTCATGTTTTCAGATGATTAACGAGGCTCATAAAATCCTGTTTGGTTTTGCTATTTGTCAAACCGTTAGTTTGACTACTCGTTAGTGAAGAGGAAGGACATTGGGGAAAAAAAACTGTTTGTGTCCCTCCTACTCCTTTTGAGCTTATTTAATTTTATTTATTTGTTATTTCTCAATTCATCTGTTTAAATAAATAAATAAATAAATAATGTTCAAATTCATACTGTGAACCAATAAGCGTGAAAACTGGGGGAAAAGCATCAGGAAAGCGTTGAGTTTGAGATGGAGTATAGACCACAGTTTCCATCAGCTGCTGGTTGTGCCTGGCTGGACTTGATGAATACACGCCATTATCGATCTGTCTCCATGGAACCGGCAGCTGTGGCTTTCTGTTTGAGCAGATAAAGGGTCATCCGTACTGTATGTACAGCTCTTTGATTTTTCTATAAAAGCACAGTTGAATGCAGCTTCTGTTGGTGCAAATTATTTAGGATTCTTTTTGTTGGCGGTTTGGCAGATTTTAGAGGACAAAGTGACGTGGGGATAAGTGACTGTTTACTCTGAAAGTAGATGATTGACAATCAGAAGCAGAAAATAGATACATGAAGGAACAATAGAGAAGACCATGGCAGGAAACTGAAGAAGCACATTGAGTTGCAGTACTGGTTTTTTTTTTTTTTTTTACTGGTTGTCTATAGAGCAAGCACGTCTCATCACAAGATGAAAAACAAAAAATGTCAGCAAGTAAACCACAAACACAAGAAGAAGCAGGTAAATGAAGAGGAGGGTTTAGGTGTGTGTGTGTGTGTGCATCTCGTTTTTTTTTCCCTCACACTCTCACGTCACTTTGATGATAACTTGAAAAATAAATGAGGTACCGTCTTCCATTTTGGGATGTGTCCTCATCTAGATGTAAGAAAGGTTTTGAAAATTGAGTTTTCATGTCAAAATCCAAGATGGCCGTCCGCCACCATATATGTATACATGTATGTATGTAATATATATATATA